TTGATCATTGATTTCAACTCAAAATTTGTACACATCTCAATTTATTTCTTAAAAACAAGCAAATTTTCTTTTTTCAAGAGGATTGAATACACCAAATGAAAGATAATCTTTTGATAAATAACATAATAATATTGGATAGGCTATATTATATGGTAAATTACCATAATATGATTATATGGTAAATCACATCCCTATCGATGGATTAAATTGCCCAAGACCAATAGGAAAGAATTTTTTTCAAACTAGCAACTTCCAAACTAATTGGCAGTTTGGCTACCAATCAAAGCCCTGTCAACCCCAACATGAGGCTTCATCTTAGATCCACAACCAGCAAATGATTTTAACATGTACCCACTCTCATAAGAATATACACCATATATAAACATTAACATAAATACGTTTGACAATTTCAGCAATCCAGAGAATTATTTAACACTAGAACCGTATCCCTATGACCTACCTTACCCGTGTCACCATTGGTCTACACAAAGTAAGGTGAAGTTAAGTTTAATAATAAGTTCGATGCTCAAGAATTGAAACACTGCCACAATCTCAATTCGTGTGGGTTGTTTTTATTATATTTGCCCGGCAGTTTATTCGTAGTCTGTTACACAAGCTTTTAGGAAGCAAATCAGTGGCATCGAAGGGAGCTGGAAGCATGATCTTCAGCTTGAGGAAAAGATCAGATGGTTGCGGAGACTGCAGTTGAAGAGATCGATGGAGCACTAGATCGATCGGGCCCGATCGCAAGCGAGGTCTTGTCATGACCTTCGACGCACACGCACCGGCAGACCGCCCGACATCGTTAACACCACCGACACTTGATATAAGCTCTGGAATCCATCGGGTACCGACAGCGTGAACCGCTGCAGCAGACGCCGCGATCAGCTTCATAGTCATGATGCCCATGTCCTTGCCTAGACAGATCCGAGGCCTTGCCTGAAACACTGGGAACTTGTAGCTGTTCTCCGGCACAAAGACGCCGTCCTTTAGCCATCGCTCAGGCTTGTACTCCATCACGTCCGGACCCCACAGAGCTTCCATCCTGCCCATGATGTATGGAGAGTAGCCAGCAGTCTCACCCTTGCGGATGACCGTGCCGTCTGGCCACACGTCGTCACTGGCGGCGACTTTTTGGTCGGCGGGGATCGAAGGGTGTAGCCGCATGGACTCGAAGAGCGCTGCTTGCAGGTAATGCATGCTCTTGAGCTCGTCGAAGGATGAGCACGCAGCCACGGAGCTGGAATTGTGGGTTGCTGAAATCTCGGCGAGGATGTTCTGTTCGACTTCGAGTGGCTGGTGAGCTCCAAGAAGAACCACGTCATGCCCATGGCGATGGTGTCTCGACCAGCTTGGAAGAAGCTGACAAGCATGTCGCATAGGAACTGGTCGGAGAGCTTCTCAGAATCATCTGTGCCGTGGTCGATGAACCTAGAGAGTAGGTCCACTCGATGGACTTTGTTGCTGGATTCCGTCATCTCCTTGCGGCGTTCCTAAATGACGGGCATTATGAAGTTTCGGATGTGGGGAACTGAGTCTCTCAATCGTCTCTCGTAGCCAATATTGAGTGCCTTATACAGTGTCCAGAAAACATTAGTGAATCGGTGGGCTATGCAAGCGGCGGCTTCGTCAAATGCCTGCTCAAATTCCACATTCGGGAGGGATAAGTCCAAGCAACCAGGATTTATTCCGACTGTCAGCGTGCAGATGTTGTCGAAATTGAACCGCTTGAGGATATCCTGCATATCAAGCAGCTGCTTCTGATCATCACTAGCTCGTAAGAGGATGGGCAGGAGCCTAATATCGATCTCTTGTTGCGCGTTGTCGATCATGAAATTTCGCATGAAGCGCAAGCTGAATTCGTTGCTGGTAATCTTCCGCTGCATTTTCCAAATGTCGCCATCAGCGTTTAAAATCCCTTCCCCGAGGTAATCTTGGAAGGTGTTACGAATGTACTCGCCTTTGGGATAATTTGCGAAGTTCTTCTTCAAGATCTACTCGACATTTGCTGGATTTGCCGTCATGTACGTCGTTCTACAGTATGTCAATGAGTTTCGGATGGTTAGAATTTTCTTACTTCGCATGAGGTCTGTTTCGTAGTCGTAAATTCGCGTGATATTCCATAGAAACTCTACAAGGTTTCCGATGAGGGGGTAAGCTTTGGCCCCCGGATTCTTCCCGTAAAGAGGATGGTTCTTCCACCACTTGTACAAGAATGAGAGCGCAACAATGCAAGTCGCAGTCCAAACTCCGAAACTGGATTCAAACAACTTTGGCGGATTACACTCCAGCTTGTGCAATGTCACTGTGGAGTTATCCATCTTCTCAACGTTTCAGGATTGAAAGGACCTCCCCAGAGTACGCTGACGCCTGGGGTCAGCAAATCAAACTAAAATTAGAAAGGATGAAAACTAAAGTTTAAGCCGATTCAAGAGATCAAACAAAAAATGGTCACCTTCACAGCACAAAAGCAGCACTCCTTTATGTGGAAATTTATGAACTTGTCAATTCAAAGTAGAAGATTGTGGTCGACGGTGAAGCCTCTCCTAACCATCCACGCTATTGCTTGCAAATCATGTGTCAACGTATAATCTACTACAGTATTTACCACGTATCAATAATAATCTGCAACCCTGCACACTACATGTGTCTTCGCTTTGAATTGCAATTTTTCCATTCTATTCACCCGTGTCCTTGGAATGCGACGTATAAGTGCTGGAATCGAGGCATAAGGCAATGTTGCAATGGACCCCAGAGTACGCTGACACCTGTGTCTACTCAAGCTTTCAGAACATGTCTCAAGGGGCCACCCATATGACAAACATACTTTTCATTTCTAAAAAGTTGAGAATCAGAATTAGTTAAATATACAGATAGGTTCAAAGCGTCCTTCGTGGTGTACCTACAGTTCAAACAAAGGCTCGCTCTGGGAGACGAAAATTCTCGGTCTGCATCCACTTTGGCCCTTGGAAGATATTGGTCGATTCACCACAATTCCTCTTATATGCTTTTTCTCCAGTCTCCACTCTACCGCACGATACTCACGTTCTGGGTGCCTATCGGCTTCATCGCCGAGAGATCCTAACACTTCGAGTTGATGCACAGCTTCAAGATGAAAGTCGGACAAGCGTGAGTGCAAGAAACCGACGACCTCTAGTTGGTGGGAAGCGTTTTCATGTATAATACTCTCCACCAACTGGAAATCTTCATTCCACGGGCTCTCTCTAATTCATTCATGGTACAGTATAGCATAAAGCCCACCTCAGGGTGGACCACAAGTATTGTGACTGGTATGGCTTGGGACCTTGTAAATACTGTAAGGCATGCAATTGCATCACATTTTAGAGGGGTAGATTTATAGATTTATATGTCAGAAATGTATTCAATATAGTTTCAAACACCTGTTTCAGAGTCACTTTCGAAAATATATTGGGCTTTATGAGGAAAGGGACATCAACACGCAGTCATATGCTCGTAAAGGATCGAAGTTTGGGCACATACGCCGCACCGGCCACATGCTAAAGCCAAGAACGGTCGCCATCCAAAGAGAAAACCGTCTCGTAATGAGAAAAAACTTCCGAGCTGAAAGCAGGGCCCTTGTGAAAAGGTGATCGATGCAACATGATTAAAACAACTTGTGAGGAACTGAAAGCAGATCCCCTTTCTGAAAGGATAAAACAAGTCAGTAGAAATTGAAGCTTGGCCACATACTCCGCACCATCTACATAATAACAATGCGAAGCAAGGTAGATACATTCTACCATGAATTTGATGGGACTTCGAATATCCAAAAGTCATCCTTCAGAATGTCCAATGTGGTTGGTCATGGTGCCCAGTAAGGTTGAACTCTAGAATTCAACTGTCGAATATAATCCAATTGTAACCCTTCGTACTGTCATAATGGTTTGTCAAAGAGGTTGGTCATATCAAAGGTGGAGTGTTGAGTGATTTCAATTTTAGATTTTTAAAATCCATCCAAGTTGATGTACCAGTAGTGAAGTGTGCAATAAGCCCGGGTGGCAGACTTTGTACTGTTCAACAAGTTTGATTCTTCGAAATTGGTAACACTGCCCACTCACGAATAACATTATTATGAGATTCTTAGAGCCTCGCAAGAATGTTCAGAAGAATGTTTGAGAATTTGATAAGGTTTGACGATTATCGGTCGTCCTTGGGGAGAAGTGCATGAAAACTCTACTCCAAATATCACATTGTAAAACTTTGAGAATCTCCACTAGGCATTAATCATTATATTGAGATATTCAGTCTCAAAATGGTGTTCGGGTGGTCACCCCGAACTCAGTCCCAAGTATCTTCATAACACCTGTAGTAACAAATACGCTGTTCAATACTGTTCCACAATAACACATCGGAATTTATCGTTGTAAACCCCAAACCACCGTAGGGCGAAAGTGTAAGGCTTTCAAGCACGACACACGCAGCATAAAAATGACCAGACAATGTTAAGAACCGTACAATCTTCATGGCAATCCCATGGAGAAGCTCCATACCCTAGACACCAGAGTGTTCACGAAGAACCCGTGCAAAGCGTGAAAAATCTTCAAACCCATTCCGTGAAATGTAGATAGTTCCCCAACTAATCTAATATTACTCAAAAATGAACAAGTGCTGATAAAAACAGGCAGAGAAAAAGTATATTGCAAGAGTGGCTTCGTCACCCGGTCCAATGCTTATAAGAGCTAATTTGCATCCCTATTTGTCAATGCATACCCAAATTACACAAGTTGATTGGCATGCATGTGGATTAAATCCATGCATGAAGGCATGCCCAGATGACAACGCAGCCAGAATTAGAAAATTCAGCTCCCTGAAGTAGTTAACCTCCAATATATTTACAAAACTACGAGTTGTACGTATACATCATTGAAATATAGTTCACTTCCTTCGGCATTACGACAAAACGTTGCCAATATATATATGAACACAAAAAAAAAACCCCATTTTGTCGCAAGCACCTGATGGTTGTAATACAGCTCAAATAAATGCAAAAACTCTGAAGTGATTTTGCGTTGCGAGGACTCCTCCAGCATACCACCAGAAAGGTTCACAGATTTTGGACTCTTCCATCCAAAACTGCTTCCTTGTCATTTGTGTGAGAAAGAAATCAAAAAGAAAACATGATGAGAAACAAAATATTCCTAAGTACAAGTACTACCTATATAGTTGAGCATCCTGATACTTCTTTACTTCGCTAGTCTCCTTCATACCTCTATACCTTCCTCTTACTGCAGATAAAACCTATGTCCGACAGGGAAAAATAACAACGGACCATTCCCTAAAACCAAAACTATAGCAACGTTTTAGTGACAGCAGCAGGTCGTCGTCAATGACAGCCTCACACATGTCACTGTCTTCCACCTAACTCCCCTGTGTTTCCACGTTGTCTCGGACCATTCGCTTCCAAACCCCCACCTCACTACACTGCTGTGGCAACCTCACAAAATCCCACACCACAAACCCCCCGTTCACCAGACAACTAGAATTAAACTCACAAGACCTCCAAAAGAATGTAAAGATTCTACACCTACTTTCTGATAAACTCCACACACACTACGAAGTCTTTCGAAAGATGTTCTTGTAGCCACTTCCGACGCAAGTCAATATAATGGTACCAGTGGTGGGATCGGGCTTGATATTGAATTGAACGCCCAAAATCAACTTTATATGCCTTAGGGTCAGAATTGCGTGTGGAGAAAGCTTGCCAACTCGAATCTTAGACACATCCTCCGGACACAGAGCACAAAGAAGGAACAGAAGACTCTGGTGTGTGGAGTCAACTACACCACCCTCCCTGATTTCTTCCAGCAGGAGCATGGCGGCACGAGACCCAATATCCTCGGGCAGCATAGCCTTCTCCTGCTTCTCCGTGTCCTCATCTTCGTCGTGCGACTGGGTGAGCGCTGCCCCTTCAGCACTCAAAAGACAACCAGTTGTGGTTTCAGCAACCATAGATATGCCATATCCAGGCGATTTACCAGCCTCATCGCCCTTCACGTGGTCAGAAAAGATGTAAACATCAGGCAGGAAGGGGTTCAAAACGCCACGCGCGGAGTCCACCATCCGGTTAGACATCTGAGGTGAAACCCTAGAAGAATAAGCCACACCCCTCACGCGCTTCACCATTCCCTCATCCATCCAAGTCACCGCTGTGAGAGAAGTGGGTACCATGGGCACTTTCAGACGCACCTCCCCGCCACCAAGAGGTGGCGCGCCCCTGCGCACAATTTTCAGCTCCAGACTTTCCATCGGCACTCCGAAGTGCTTCAATATAGGCAACGTTGTAGTGCGAAACGTATCCATGCAGGGATCCTTACCACCATTTGTAATCCCCTTCAAGGTTATCGTCAGGCTCTTCTTCCCAAACAATCCCAACACAAGCAGCGACTCCAAAAAATACCCAATTGACCTTCCAGTCCCACAGTCGTGCACCAGGTCGCGGCCACCAATTAAAACCCCGGGTTTATACCGAATCTTAGTTCCAGTTTCATTAATCTCTACCGAGCAACCATTGCTCACCTTCTCTAGCAAACGCAGGAACGACGCCTCGTAGTCACGCAGCCCAGGGCGAGAATCCTCTGCTCGAATATCATCAATTCGTAGCGTAGCGCCGGCCAGCGTCGCTAGCAGTAAGCGTTGGCGGAACTGCTGAGCGCCCCGCAGCTTGATCACCTCGCCACCCATCGTCTCTGCATTCCAAGTCCAGCTCCCAAGCTCACAAGCGACAATGAAAACCCCTTGGACCCTAAAAACCCTAAATCACAAAAACACATCCTCTCTTACCACGCTGCCTCTGCGTCCGGGCGGGCAGCCCGTTGCGCCTGGGCAGCTCTCGACTTTCTCTGGATTACGCTTCAAGGTGTCGGGGCAGACCTCCCCAAATGTGGCCGCAACAGTGTTTCACAATAAAGGTTTATTAATATTTGTAAATTCATATAATTTTTTGAAAAAAAAATGTACTAATCGTTAAAGATTATTAATCATCAAAGTAGCGCACATAATGCAATATGGAAATTTTCCTTACAATGGCCTTAAAATAATTTTTGTGATCGGTGCAAACATGATATTAGTAAACGAAGTTTTATAAAATATATGGAAGAATATCTTAAAATCCTTGAATTAAAATCCTTCCAATATTATTTTTAAAACTTGATTTCTAATTTAAATTTTTAATATTTTTTAAATGATTTAATTGATTTTTTAATTTTTTTTATCCAAAAACACATAGTTTAACTTAATTTATTTATATTTCACTCAAAGTATTTATAACATTTTTGGATTTTTTTAAATCTATTTTTTATCTTAGTAAAACACAAATGTTTTGATTTTTTATATAAAAAAATAATTATATTGTAACAAAGGCATACTTATATATTTATAATACAAAAAAACTTGATTAAAAAAATAATTATAATTATTTACATAAAAATTGTACTAAATACGATTGTGTATAGTAATTATTAGAATTTGAAAATTATCATCCTAAACATAGAAAAATTTAGATAATCATGTAATTTTAAATATTATGTATATAAATATATGGGTAAACTTATTGGTATTTATGTAGAATTTAATTTTTTTAAATTATTACTTACAACTAAATAATATAAAAAGGTATAAAAATTTACTTCTAATATATTTGAATTACAGTATTTAAATAATATTAATAAATTTATATATATATATATATATATAGGATATTGTTAAGGCTAAGACTACAAGCACATCCTAAGTTCCTAAACACACACCCAAGACTTCTGATTAGGTCATTCAGATCCCGTTTCTCTAGTTCTGATGTGGGTCTCGGTCCCCTCCTTTTCTCCCTTGTTCCTGCACGGGTCCTGGCCCCCCTCCCTCTTTCTTTCCATCCACTGCGCGGGTCCCGCCGCTTCTCTTACTTTCCCCTCTACTGCTCACGCCGGAACAAGGGTGCGGGCAGCATTGTGTGGGTTGATAAGGACAACCCCTGGACTATCGATGACGAGAGCGAGAGCACGGACTTGACCTACGTGAACCTGCTCTTGAATCCAGAGAAGTGTACTGGGTACAAAGGGGAGTCTGCATGTCGAATTTGGAAGGCCATTTACTCTCAAAATTGTTTCGAGAATAAGAAAAGAACTTGTGCACCGAGAGACGTGTGTTTTACACGCTAATTTCAGGGCTTCACACAACCATCTCCACCCATATTGTTGGGGATTACCTGATGGACAAATCCAGGAATTTTTGGGGAAGGAATACCTCTCCCAAAAATATCTCTCTTGATGCATGATCGCGTGCTTCGACATCCTGAGTGTGTGCAGAACCTCTACTTCACGTACCACTTCGTTTTGAGAGCCCTGCCGAAGGCCGAGAAATACTTGTCCGAAGCTGAGTATTCTACCGGCAATGACGCCGAGGATCATCATACTCACAAGCTGATGGTAGCGTTAGTTGGCAGCGAGCGACTCCGCATCGCATGTCCCATCCCTTTCAATGAGGCCAAAATGTGGCGAGGACCAGATGCCTAAGATTTGAAGCCACAGTTGCAGAAGAATTTTCGTAACATAACTGCGTTGATGGATTGCGTCGGCTGCAAGTAGTGCCGGTTTTGAGGCAAGCTCCAAATCTTAGGTCTAGCCTAACAATAAAATGCTTGTTTGAAAAAAAGGAAAAAAGAAATGAAGCCGAAAGAACTGTGTTCGCTTCCTAAGCAACTTGAAGACCTGCCGCTTCCTTAAGAGGTCTCCACTTGTATGATCTCCTGAGACAAATTCAAAACGATTCAGTGAGGGATGATTACAATCTAAAACAGTCTACATGAATCAAACAGTTGTCTAAGACAAGCACCCACTGGAAATATACGATGAGTTTTCCTCCAAGCATGAGAAATAACTCCAGTGCTGCGATTACATTGACACAACCCATACTAATTAAGAGAATTGGTGGAAGAATTGCAAGTATTACACCACTGCAATTATCACTCTAGCTCTTTAAGTGTATTAATCCTTAATCATAACGCTTGATTGCACTGTCGATGCTCATCATTGTGTGTTTGTGATGAAAAAGGCATCAAAACATGTCGTCACAACCTTGTACATTCTTCTCAAATGCTCCTCTATGTGTTCTTTTTTGTAAGCTCCTCTTATAGGTTGTCATATTTTGTGAAGTTTGCTTGAGAATGCATTTGGTACTTAACTATGGAAGATAAAATAGAAATTACAACAAGAAAGTTTTAACAAGTCTAATAGAATCCTAAAAAAACTCCAATTAAACCTTAACAATTCTAATCAAACTTTAATCAAATCCAAAAGAAGTTTTAGAAAAATTACAAAATAAACATAAAGAAATCATAAATTAATATTAAAAAAATAAAAAATAAAAATTATAAAAAAAATACTAAAAATAAAAATCATAAAGAAATAATAAAAAAATCCTAAAAATTATTAAAAATAAAAATCCTAAATAAATTCCAAACAATCCTTACCAAATCATAATATAATCCTAAAAACATCCTACTAAATTCTAAATTAACTCTAATAAAATCCAAAAAAATCTTAAACAAATCATAATCAAATATAAATTCTAAACCACATCCTTATTAAATCTTATGAAATCCTAAAATTTAAAATAAACTATATGAAATCTCAAATTCTAAAATAATTCCTAATCAAATCCTAAATCCTAAATCAAATCCTAATAAAATCCTAATTGAAACTTACATCTTAAACAAACTCTTATCTAATTCTATAACATATTAAAATCCCAATAACTAATAATCTAAAAATAGACATTTAAAAAAAATTATACCTCTCAATCACTAAGTTGATAATAAGTACAATTTTTTTGAAAACGATCCAACTTACTAAATAAAATATAAATCCTAAAATCTGCTTTACTATTGATTAGCTTCCTTTTTCAATTTTAATGCCAATCTTTCAATGCCATTACTTCTTAAATATATCATTCAATGGCTTTGAAACTTTGCTTGATTATTAAAAATCAAGTCAAATAATATTATCCAAATATTTAACTCAATACAATTGGTGGATTATTATATATTTTAGAAATTTTTATTGATCTTTTAAACTACAATTCTTAAGACCCTTATATGTTTGAATTCTAATAAACTATAAATAAATCATTTTATCAAGCTCCAACTTATAATATAGATTCAACACATCACTAATTATACAATCACAAATTTTTACTTATAGATCATCTACTAATCTTACACAATTTTCTAAAATAAAAATTCTTTATATTTTTCAAAATCCAAAGTCACTCCAAAATAACTTTGACATTACAAATTCTTTTCAAAGTCATTACAAACTTATCTCATTCAATATCAAAGCCAAAAGTGTCTTTTTTTTGTTTGCTATCATATCTACTTTTTGATCATCAAAAGAAACCTAAAATTACCATAGGTGCATGTTTTTATGCCTTAAGGTTTGATTATGACACTAATTCACAACCAATCCTCTCTAAGTATCAATTCTTGATTTCTTGAAGTAAATTTTGCTAAAATCTACTCTTAACTTCTTTCTTAATATGTCTAAATCAATTACTTTTCTTATCTACTTTGATTTGCATCATTTATAGCCATATAAAATAAATAGAAGTATTTTTTTATAAAACAAATATTAATATTTATTAAATTTTATTACCTCCTTATCTATTATCTATATTTCTAAGATAATTTGCTATAATATTTTTATTTAAGCTTCTTTATACTATAGTCATTCATTTTTTATTTTTTATTTTATTTTATTTTTTTCCTAATAGCCTTCTTACAAGACAATATTGTCATGTATCCATTTTTCTTTTTATAATTTTTTGTATAATGTTTTTTTCTCAATGACTTACAAATTGCTAGCATATTTTTAAGTTGTAACAATTTGATTGCTTGTATAGAATAAATAGGCCTATTTATAAGTCATGTAATCATGATAAAAAAAAATTGATGCATCTTGTAATTGCCTTGAGTTGGGCTATGATTGTAGCAATCATTTGAACAACTGAGTCTTAGATAGGTGGAAAATTATAGAATTAAGAATAAAAACTATAATAACATTAGTAATAATATATATATATATATATTATAAATATATATATTAAAATAATAATATCATTAAATAATAATTATAATAAAATATTATTTTAGCAAAATAAGCTATAATTTAACTTTTGAGCCATAAATTTTGAAAATTATTAATTCACAAAACACATTAATTTTTATATATAAGACTAGTTGTGATAATAAGATTTTGAGATTATTGAAAAAAGACATCTTTGAAGTTACAACACATAACATTAGCAAGATTTACACAAAAAGAGTATGGAATAAGATGACTCTCATTTCTAACACCCATTTCTTATGAGTGGTGGTTGCTGCTCTTTACAACAACTTCCATTTTTTGACTTTTACATCTATCAAAAATATATACCAAATATATCTTTTGGCATCTTATCAACTACAAGGATATGTCTTTAGCATATCCATTTTGTTTGAAGGATCCTTTGCTAACTCACCTACTTTAAGGATACTCTATAGTATATACTTTATATTTTTATCTAGTCATTGGATATTTCTTGATTGATCATTTATTGTCTTCACTATGACTCTTAACTCTTGGCCTTGTCCCATAATCATATGATGCCTTTCCACATACCAAGAATTAATCCTTTAACCATTAGCAACTTACCTAAGTTAATATCTTCTATAAGATAACTTATTTTATTTTCACATTTACTTACTTATTTTAATAGAATAATTGTTGTAGCTACACATTGGAGCAATTCTATTGCAAGAATTAATAGGAAAGAGGATGAATTGAATTGGGGGCATAGGGAGCTTGGGCTTTAATTGGAAGTATAATCAGCATTATTGTTGTCATTTATGCTATTGCTAATGTCGTTCATTGAGGTAGGTACTTCTCATATTTGGACTAAACTCACTAACAATTATGCTATGTTCATTTTTCATTCACTCTCATTGATGTTATGATGATTAGAGGAATTGCTTCAATATCTGAAGTCTGTAGTAGAAGGTATGTTTGTTTAAAAGATGAAGTGCTGACACTCACTCTCTCTTGTACAGACAAGTAATTTAACATCTTTTCAAGTATGATGTGTTAAAGAAGTATGAATTATTTTTTTGCTAAATAACAAGGTGTAAATAGAACTCTTTCAATACCCTACTTAGATTGAATAACATCGGTGCTGCAAGTAGTTGCTCATGTGAATGTTATCTAACCTTATAGATATAGAGAACATCTTCTTACAAAATGTTACTTGGAGCAGGTTTTCAGTCCTGAGTTGTCGCTTTTATTGTGCAAATCAGTTGCATAATGAAGTCTATCTGGTGTTGTAACTAATGATATCCACACCTCATGATTCTCGCAATTAGGTGCAACAGAATCAGGCCAAAAGTCCACGTCGTTTCTTTACAGCAACTTGTGCTCGCGAAGAAAAAGGCTAGCAAGTAGAAAACTAAGTTGTTCATCTTCTGCCAAAATACCCTCTTAGTCACACATAAGACTAAGAGTCGTTCTGGATCGATACATATCCTAAAGTGGATAAGGGTTGTGATAAGTGTATAAAACACTTCTGTATCTTAGTAAAGCATTGCAATAAGATTACATTCCTTCATTTTTCATACAAGAAACCTCCGTTTCTACATCTAGTAAGTGAAAACAGATTTTCAGATTCAGTGATGTTTATAAAGCAGGGCAAAGCGGCTAGATATTCTCTGTAAGCATATCATATTGATGCTTGCCGACGACGTAGCCTGCAACGCTTGAGATGCGTGCCCAGCCCAAGTGTACAATAATGACAACCATCGATTCAACCTTTATGATAACCATATTTAGGTGCGAACACGCTTACGTGTTTTGAGGTGTGTGTACTAAATTTTAGATCATTATTACGTTCAGTTCTCATGATAACTTTATGGTCCTAATGATGACTTGGATTCGCTATGAGTGTTTTTCAATTCTGAATTTCACCCTCATGTAAGAAATGCATAATTTTGTGCAACTGTGATTAGTAGGCTGCTTTAGTATTGGGTATGTTGATAAGTTGCTGAATACGTAGATTTCTCAACTTCATGAACTGCAGGTTGATCACAAGGGCCATGAAGTAAACGCGAAATACTTCTGCGTGTTTGTACCAGTCGCCACGATGATACTATGGCGAGGTCCAAATGGTTGCTCAGTGGCGAAGGTAGTAAGACCTCTACATGAGAGGTTGCAGTGGTGATATGTTTCTGTCGTTTCAGGACTATGAAGAGATCCGCATTTGTGATCTTACTAGTGCATTTGCTCAAATGCATGAGAGGTCATGTACAGATGTTAGATTATTAATATGGTCTCATTCGTAAACCCTTAGGGATGTGGATTGCACGTGCTTTATAGAAGTTTAACAACTTGTTGATAGCACTGGATTTCAGTCTCAAAATAGTACTCTCTATCATTTACGTTATCAAATGTCAAGATTACAAGTTGCTCAGTTTCGTCTTCATTCTCTGACTATACGATAGAATAATTTGAAGAGCAATGTGCACTGAGTTGTTTGTATCAGGCTTCGTTACACGCTCTACTGTCTTTTAGTAGGTGGTAATCACGCCTCCATGTTCATACAATACAACAGCACTGACTTGCTGTTGTACGTGGTGTAATATTGTAGTAGTGCTTCACCTGCATAAGAAGTTAAGGTCACAATGCAAATTGGGCTGCTTCTGCCTTACTCATGCTACAGATTGTCATGACTAACAAGGTTTTTGCAGCAACAAGGAATTATTAGTGATGGTTGATGTGTGCCAAGCAGCTAATCTGCACTCCCAGTCACTTATTTTTCTAATTCTAGATCCCTGTATAGATGGATGGTTATTGCAGTGCGCATTTAACACATGCTCACAGCCGTATATATATATGTGAAGAACACAAAAACTTGGAGTACATTAATATGTGGCTATCATTCCTGTAAGTGTCGTAGTCACTTAATCGATATATTCTCATGAAATAATTCACCTCTTTACGTTGTTGGTCCTTTTCTGCAGCTTTATGGCCCAAGATTCGTGCCGTGGGGAGCAGTTTGAAGGAAGAGAGCTCCTGTTCTCACTACTTAAATGCACATGTACGTACCCAACTGGATTTGGAAACCCTCTCGGTTTTCTTTTACTGCTGTTTTAGTCATCACGCACCTGATAATACTTTGAAGAGAAGTTGGAAGTGATTTGTTATTCTGTATTACCCATGGTCCATAATTTCTACTTTAGCATCGTCAATGAGCTGAGTGCATGATTGATATTTAGGAATGTGGAGTGCATCCTTTAGTAAACTACAGATGCTTAGGATCGCAGATGAGCGTTATGATGGTTGGTGGTTGGGTATGGGATGTGGGAGTTCCAGTAGTGGATCGATTCACTTACTACGTTTTGCAGTTCTTTGAAGAACAACTGCTCCGTTGGCTTCGTATGGAATATTCTAAATTATGCACTTTGATATTCTACAGAGAAACTATCTTCATTCCTCCCAAAACTGTTGAAATGCCTCGCGTACTATTATTGGTGGAGATTTGCCGATGCAAGGTTTTCACCCTTCTCAGTTGCAAACCCTCCAGAGCATGACTTAAAATATGCAGGGAACCACCTTGATTAAACTCTTGAATGATTCATTGATAATGTTATCTGTTCAGGCTATGGAGGGTGAAGAAGGCTTTAAATGCGTCGAATGTGAGGAATGGCCTCATGCAAGGTGACAAGAAGAACACTCGTCTTCGTGGATTTGCTTGCCGCAGCAGGCAAAGTATCATCCATTACCTACCCTGGCTTATGAAGCTTTCTTTGGTTCGTGCTTGTCGGAAGACGTTTTGGTCCACAGATGAGCATGCACAGTTAATCTCTCTTCACGCAGATCAGGTGTCATTTAGTTTGACAATTGAGTCACAATCACCCAGGTAGGTATTGAGCAAGGTGTAACTCAGGAACTGCTGGAAATTGACACTCAATACAGATAGCTGTGCTGAATGGTTTCAGTTCAGTTGGAGCTTCATTGCTTGCAGAAGTTACACTTGGTTTAAAACTATGTTCTTTGTATTTAGACGATGTGCAATGCATGAATTTGCAAAGAGTTTAATTGCCCTCGTACAGTCGGGTTCTCACTATGAAGCGTAGCATTTCCAACATTTGTATCATGGTGGCTACGAAATTGGTTCAAAAAGATGAGTGTGCCGTCCTGAGACATTTTGAATTCATTGCATTCTATAGTTTCCTTGTTCAGCCTAAACCATGAAGGCCATATTGGCCACTCCGCCCAGAGCTCTGGGATTTAACCAGGCAACTGTGATGAGTGTGGCGTCCAAATTGGCTTGGAATATGGTTACACCAAGCAAAGTATAACAAGTTCGGATGTGATATCAATATAGTCATGCGTATCTGTTAGGTGATGTATTGAAACATTTGGCAAGCTATTGCTGTCAGCTGAGTTGAACACAACAAAACCTCCAGTTTCGTTTTTGAGTGTGGCCAAGTCACACTCTCATCCGTTCCAATTCGAACAAACCTGAACTTGACGTGGGATATCGTTGCACCAGCACGGATGTGGCAAAATACAATTTCACACACTTCTACTACACTCAGGCTTTTGAGATTTGTCCTCAACGATGTTCTGCAGTAATATTACACCCGCTCACAAATTTCCAGCGGTGAACTGTATTTTAAGAAACCAATTCTTTTTCTTCTTCTGCTTCTTCAGCTTTTTCCGTTTTAGGCAAAATCAACGGCATCCTTTTCACCTTGTGCAATTTGGAATTCCCATCATGAAAAATGTGTCTCCCTTTCATATGAAACATTATTTTATCAATATTTATGAAATAAAGGATAGAGATTTGGCTGCCATTTTGTTATATTAGGGCACTTGCATAATAGGCCTCATGCCTTCATGTAGTTGGGCCTCTTTTTTTTTTTTTTTTTAATGTGTACTAGCAAATTTATTCCAATTTGTTTACTTATTTTAATCTAGACCTTTCTTTGTAGTTTTGGTTTTCCTCACTTTTTTTCTCTCAATACTTGGAATTTGATCTTGATACTTTATAAGAAGATAGAACTTGATGTCATGGTTCAATGAATGTAAAGATTTAAAATTTGAAGAAAAAAGTAATATCCCATTTAGTAGAGGAGATATATTGCTTTCACAATTTTGATAGCTCTACTTTGTAAGACCATCCTTTACTGCTTGCATCTTTGATTGCAACAAAGATTTTTGATCTAAAGAATTTATTAAGTTTGATTTTGAGAGAATCAAAAAATACTAACTTTGAATTCAAAACCAAATGGTGGTGCTTCTTTTAGAAGAAGGGATTTGCTACTCCATCAAATTGAAGCTACTAATGAATAAAAAAACTTTAAAAAGTAAAATCAAGAGGAATAAACAAATTTATTAATTCATCTTTTAAAATAAGATTTTTTTTAAGTCTAAGTTTACTAAAATGTTATTAAGAATAAAATTATATCAATTTTTTTGTAAAAAGAAATTTGATGCCCTATCATATTAAAGCTAAAAATAAAAGAAATAACTTAATAGAATAAAATCAAGAGTAATGAAGTAGGTTAGAAGTTCATTTCTTAAATAAAATAAGGAAGTATGTATATACAAGAAGAAACCAAAATGACTATTGTCATATGTTAAAAAACTAAAAACTCTTGAAATTAGATTAGAAGCAAGAAAGAAGTTGACAAGAGTGAAGAAGACATCATTCTTGTTCTTATATATACTATCTAATTAGAAGCTACATGGCAACATTTTATGAAACCTCTAACATGTTTCCAACTTGTAGGATATGTGTCTAACTTATGTTTCTTATATGAGATTGAGTGCACATGAAACTGGGGGGGGAGGGGGGGTGTTTCCTCGTATTGATTAGTCAACTCTTCTTCTGTTCCCTTCCTCCTATCATTGTCTGTCCTGCTCCTGCTGCTCTCCTCCCCCCTCCCCCATGAAAGAAAGGCCATGGCTCTTCTGCCTGTGGCCATGGCCGCTCCCTCCTTTCCTCTCCTCCTCCTCCTCCATACCACAGCCGTCGCTTCCCTCTCTTGTCGTCTCCAATAAATCATCCTTCAAACGATTTTCTGAACCCGTCCTTATTGATTCCTCATCCCTCTTCGTTTTTTCCTTCTTGGCTCTAATCCTGGGCGCCTATCGTGTCTACTTTCTCCCTGGTTCGCAAGCAATTACGAGTTGTGAGATCAATACCCAGTGCTTCCCCGACGTGATACCAGCATCACCCAACTCTTGAACTGTAAGTAAGCATAGCCGGGGGTAAGGTTATCCATGAAACATATGATCGCAGCAGTTCCAAAAGGTATCTTCAATCCATTTTACTATCTCTGTTAATTTTATATCATTGCCTCTTAGTAGGACTTATGATCCCTACAGCATCATTATTCCGTTTTGCTTAAGTGGCTCTATTAGCATCATTTCACTTCTCTTTCTATTCTGCCTTGCATCGCCAGCTATTTAAGTGGACTGCAGGCATTCTATTTAACTTCGCACATCCCTTTCCCAGCTGCCATTTGATTAATCAGCAACATGTTCAGAAATTCCACAGGATTCCAACCACTTCAAGACGTATGCCTCCATAAAAGATGCAAAGGTCACGATAGCTGCCATCGAAGATACTGCAAAATAGGACATTCTTTCAGCTAATCAAAGTTTATTGTATGGCGTTCCAATCGAGAGAGTTTTCCAACATAAATTCTTTCAGTTTTGGAAAGTACCCTCGAATCCAGTCTCACATGCTCTTACTGTTTTTATTTGCACTCATAACAGTTGTAGTCTTCTTCACCTCCGTCACGCATATCTCGGGGCGAGACGTTGGTGCAGCATCAGCGGCTATTGCACGGTTAAGGCGAGGGAGAAAACTCCATTTATACACAAGTAATATCACGAATGATAGTACTTTCTTGGCATTCGTGATATCTGAGCCTGATGTGGAGAACGAGAAGGCTATGATTAAAGAGGTTCTAGAGGGGAGCAATGATCCACACCGTAGGCTGCGAGATAGAGCTGGAAGTTGGCTGTCGCGGCTACCTACACCACGGTATGCTCCATTCTGGTCGCAGTTTCGAGCTCTGCTGCGAACATGGGTGGCAATGAAGTGGTACGATCCTAAGATAATGCAGAGCTTGGTAACAACGATTAAGGGGCCCATTGATCAGCATCATCATCATAATAATCGTAAGAAAAGACTGTATGGAACCTGTGCAGTGGTGGGCAACAGTGGAATCCTGTTAAATAGTACGTTTGGGAAGATGATTGACGCACATGAGGAGATTGTGCGGCTAAATAACGCAAGGATAAAAGGGTTTGAGAAGTATGTGGGAGGAAAGACAACTATTGTGTTCATGAATAACAACATTCTGCACAAATGTGCACGTCGAGTGCGTTGCTACTGCCACCCTTATGGAGACAATATTTCGATTGTGATGTATGTCAGCCAGGTGCCTCACTTAATGGACATGGCCATGTGTAACCCTGTGCACGCGGCGCCTCTACTGGTGACCGATCCTTGTTTTGACGCTCTGACATCGTGCATTGCAAAGTGATACTCGGTGCGCGAGTTCATGGAGCAAATTAGGAAGGTAGTGAATGAATGGCCATGGGTGCAAGGGTTTCACTACTCATCAGGCATGCAGGCGGTGATGCTTGCGCTGGGCATCTGTGAGGAGGTTGATCTTTATGGATTTGAAAAAGGAACAGGTACAAACAAGACTGTGTCTAGGCATCACTACCACATGGCGCAGCGAAAAGAACTTCACATACATGATTATGAAGCGGAGTATGTCTTCTATGATGACCTTGTCATGGCATCTCACTCGAATAGCGGGAGTAATCATCCGATACCTTTCCTTTGTGATGCGGGAATTCGCATTCCTCCTGTGCGCGTGTTTGGAGGATAGTTTTATTGGTGAGCAGTAAGATTGTTAATTCCAATACCAATGAACATGGCGAACAAGATTAATGTCTTGGTTGGATATATGGAGAATTCAATGACCTTGAGTCTACTTGGTCCAATCTACCATTTCCACTTAGGGACTTGGTTGGGCTTGCATTGTTTAGTAGAACGTGGATGGGATTGTGGCATCCATATTTTGTAGCTAAGTGGTTGTTCAATTCACAATATTTGTGTGGAATGTTTTGTGCATCTTACGTAGTCTAGTTTAATTGGTGCAAGGACTCCAAAGAAACCTTGTCGTTGCAGTTGTGGTTGGGAATGCATACTAGTGTGACTCATTGAATCGTGATCAAATCTGGTACATTCTTGTTGATACCAGTAGGGACTCATTTAGAGTGTCAGGATTCAATAGCAAGAAAATTAACCCGATTTGATAATGATAAACTGTAACTTAGTTCAGAATGTAAGTTAAATGTGCTTAATCAACTTTGCTGAGCTCGTAATAAGGTAAGTGTGGGAGAAAACCTCGGGCGTTGGGAACTCCTCTCAGCTGCAGGGATAGGAGCCACAGGGGTGGAGTCGTGAGAAAGAAGTGAAGCACGACGGGTTGATTCGAGAATGCTAAGGATCACCTCATTTGGAGGTGTGAGCTGGGAGTTTGAAGGTGGCTCTGCCTAGGGACAGAGCCAGACACGAATACAGAACTGCCCAGGGAGTCCCGACCCTTGGAAGGGGCATAACTTCCAGCAGGAGTGTCCGTTTGGGGCAAATAGAGTGTATATCGACATCTACGCGGTGAAGTAGATCCCGACAGAGTGGTCGTACGTCCCGTTTAGAGCTCGGACAAGGGAGATATGGCCCTGAAAAGGTTTGAGAGACCCCCCTGGAGCTGTCCAGCGACTTAGGCACAAGAAGGACGGGTGGTCTTCCAAAGCCAGAGGTCTCTTGGAAGTGGCCCTGAGCTAGGACCAGGGGGCTGCTGCCGAATCCCATAGCCGGTACTATGAGGAGGGGTGGTCGCCCTCTTCACTCCCAAGTGAAGTGTCCCGGTAATGACCAAGGGGAATCCCAGGGTGGTGGTGGAGCTAGTGTTGAGGCTTCCCCACGTAGTGTCGTGGCCGGTCATACAAGGCAGACTATTGAGTCCCCATGCGTGATGATTGATTGATACCAATTGGGGGTAGTGTCCTCACGCTGGCTGGCACCGTGGTAACTAAGATGGCCTTGTGGTCACCATAGGGGTCGTAAGTGGTAGTGGGAAGACACCACCAAGTGAGGCCTTGGACATGAGTGGAAGTCTGTACCTAACTATTGGCTACCTCCTGAAAGAGAGACCTTAAACATGAGTAGGAGAGATTGGTGACAAGCCCTCTTGTTGAATATCAATCAAACAATATCTATCCAAAAGTGGTCTCTTTTGTATTAAATTTTGTTAAATTCATGGTAAATTCATAAATTTATAGATTTATTAGAAAAATAGTTTTAAAGTTTTATAGATAGAAAAATAAATAAATAAATAAATATTTCCCTAATTATTTAAGTAATTATTATGAACTAATAGATATTATAACTTATAATAACTTTTTAAGAAAAAAATCATAAAAAATGAATCTTAGTAAGATTTGAAAATAATTATTTTAGTTGATTTAAGTAATTTTTATTATTAAATAATTTATATTTAATTTTTAATACTAATATCTAAATTGTTCATCCATCTACATGTACTATTTATTAGAAATTTACAAATGTTAGCTTATCGATAGAAATAAGATGAAAAAGAAATATCATTACTTTTTAATTACTTATGTAAAGAATAAGATTTTTTTACTTGATTTAAATTATTACTACAAATAATCACCAAGAAAAAATAAAGTAATATTTTTTGATATTAGCATCTTAAAAATATAAAAAGAATTCTTAAAATTGATTTAGAATTGATTTAGAAATATTTAGGAATTTTTAAAACATATTTTCAAGACATTGATTAAAAGTATTTTATCACATTGAAAGGCCATTATGAAGAGTTTGAGGAAGATTTGAAGGCCCCTATAAACTATTAATTTAATTTATTGTTTCTAAACACCATTAGTGAGTCAAAATTATAAAATAAAAAATATATTTTAATAATAGAAATCATAGGAATTAGTAGTTATAATACTAATTGTAAGAAGATAGGTGCATAAATCTAATATGGATTGTAGCATCTTAGATGTAGATAGCAAAATAAGACTAATACCTTATGGCTTCTATAAGACCAGGTTCTACGATTTAGGGTTAAAAGTCTTAAGATTATAAGAGTTATAACGATGTCCTTAATTTTTGGACCTTAATATATTTGGATTTCAACTTGACTTATCTCCCGATTTATGATATCTAGAATTTCAATGGTATACTTATTTTCCTATACAAGTTCATAGTTTGAAAAAATATAGCTACTTTGACTTTAAAATTTAAGATTTTAAATTTAAGCAATTTAGAATCATAAGAATATTTTTGATTTTTTGTCAAGGACAAGAACTCGATGAAAAAGCAATTCAAATAAGTGAGCCTTCACTCAAAGAAAGGTAACAAAATATAAATACACAAATATGTATATTGAAAGAGAAACTGGAATGGCTATTGTCAAAAGACAAGAAAACTAGAGACCCTTGAAACTAGACTGGAAGCAAGAAAAGAGTTGACAAGAGTGAAGAAGGCTTCACTCTTGTCTCTATATATACTATCTAACTAGGGGCTATATGGCAACGTTCTATAGGACCTCCAATATGTGTTGACTTTGTAGGACACATGCCTTGACTTACAAGGCAAGTTTTTCTACGTGTGGGCCACATAGTTAGCTTGGTCTTCAAGCTAATAATATGTGTGGCACATGGCCAACTTGTTGACCACGTTCTAATCCAAAAAGTCAATTAAAGACACCTATGAAGTCAAAGCAATGTCTATGAAGCTTCTAGGAAGCTAATATATCAAATATGATAGAATTAAATTACTTTTACTTATTTTTACTTACTTCTACCTATTTCTATATGTAATTATTAGCTTACATGAGTATGTCCGTGATATTACCCCCCCTCCCCTTTTAGAGACGAGTTCCACAAGGAGCGATCATCATATGTTGAGAAAATCTATGATGCGATGAATTGTATTCACCACATACTCTAATCTTTGTTCTCTTCGAAGATGATTGATAGGGCCTCTCAACCATTGGTAGTGTCCCATACCAAGGCGGGAAGACCACCCAGTTATTTGATCATTGTTGAGGCCTTCATGACTTCCTTCGAATAGAACATTTGGAACACCATCAAGAGTTGTTCCTACCTCTAATAAAATCACCAAACATCGGGAGTCCCTTCCCAAGTCGTGATACCAAATGTGTTGTATCTCGCCATCTATTTGAAGAAGAACATGTCGTTCTTGAAGATCTTCATCTCGATTGCGTCGTCTTGAAGGTTGTGACAATCATAATGTCTCGTCCGGTAGGGCAGTAAATGAAGGCTCTTGAGTCGAATCTACTCGTTATTGGTTCTCCATATCCTGAGCATCACAACTACAAAGAAGCTACAAACAAGGATTGAAAGTAGAATGTTATCTTGTCTAGATGTTGTTTCTTTTATAAAGAAGGTTTTTATCTTGATTTTGATGGATGTCGTTAATGAAAAGCCTCCTCCGCCTTTACTGCATTTACAAGATTCTTTATTAGCTCCCATGTGCGTTCACTAATATCATATCCACGCCAATGGACAAGATATTCCAATTTAATTCGGCGTCACCTTGAATCTAAGACTTCTTCTACTTCAAACTCTTCATTATTGTCCACTTCTATAGGAGGAGGCGGAGCTTGTCATCTTCTTGATATGTCCATTGTCTTGTATAGTTCAAGAAGAGACACGTGGAATACTGGATTGATTTTCATTGACTCCGACAGATATAAACAATATGCAACTGGATTGATTTGTGGAGAAATAGAAAATGGTCTAAGTCTTCGATAGTCCAACTTGTCACAAGGACGAGTGGTCTTGATATTGCGACAAAGTAGCCATACCATATCACTTAAGTGGAATGGTCGTTGTTCCTTTCGATAGACATCCGCATTGACCTTTTGTTGTTCTTGAGCCTCTTTTAACTGCGCCTTCATCATTGCATATAGCTCTAACAAATGAATCACCAAATCTTTTGCAATAGGATTATCAACTTTTGAAAAGTCAAAAGTATCAAGTCGTGGATGATAACCATAATTAGCAAAGAAAGGTGTTTATTTTGTAGAAGAATGTACTGTATTATTGTAAGTAAACTCTGCCAATGGCAAAAGAGTTGTCCAATCATCTTATTGGTAGTTAATAGTACATCTTAAATATTGCTCCAAAACTTGATTAATACGCTCTATTTATCCATCAGTTTGAGGATGGAATGTCAAAGATAGTTTTATATCGACTTTTAGAATCTTGAAAAGAGTCCACCAAAATCTTGATACAAATTGAGTTCCCCTATCTGATATAATATCCTTGAGTAATCCATGATAGCGATAGATATTTTCAAGAAAGAGCTTAGATGTTTCTTTACTTGTGATAGATTTTGTATATGGTACAAAATGTGTCATCTTGGTAAAACGATCTACTTTCACGAATATAGAGTCATAAGAACCTGAGATTGGAAGATCCGTGATGAAGTCCATAGAAACAGTAGACCATGGTTGTTCTGGAATGGGTAATGGCTGAAGAAGTCCAAAAGGTCGATGATGAAGAGTTTTTGATCTTGAGCAAACATCACATGATTGTACAAAATCTTTGACTGCCTTCCACATTTGAGGCTACCAAAAATCCATAGATATCAGCTCCAAAGTCTTATTGTATCCAAAATATCTTGCTGCCTGGAAGTCGTGACGAGCTTGAAGAATACGTAAACGTGCCTCTCCTTCTGGAACATATAGGCATCCTTCAAAATAGAGTAGGTTGTTCTTGAACTCGAATTTAGAGGGATCATGAGATTTAGAAGAATTATTCTTGATATCATGAACAAGAGGGTCTGAAGACATATTTAACTGGACTCGCTTCAAAAAAGTTAAATCAACAATCAATGTTGATTTTACTACTCAAAGATGAAATTGCTCCGGCTTCAAGAGAATCATTCTTTGTTGCTCAAAAGCTGCATCTCTTACTTTTGGTAGAAGATAAGAATGTCTAGACAAGGCATCGGACAAACCTTGTTGTTTTCCTGGCCGATAAGTAATGATGAACTCGAATCTTGATAAAGACATACTCCAACAAGCTTGACGATAATTTAA